GAGCTGCTCATTGCACATAAGAAAACGCAGAGTTTGATCAGAAAAGAACAAGATGAGGGTGGGATGAGAATGGGTGGGTAGGGTGAGTGGAAGAGGAAGGGAATTGGTGTTACTGAAACCATTTATACCACAGTAAGCTGCATGAAGTTACCACGCGCGTGCTTGTGCATTTTCGCTAATACGATGCGTTTCAAGGCTGCGTTTTCGGAGCAGCTTACTAAAAAAGTTTATTCGTATGTGTTAAAAGCAGATAGGAATGCTAAAATTTTTCACTTCATCAAAGAAGTTTTTTAGTACCAAATTTCTGTTTTTATGCGTTTCTGCACATTTATGCGGGTGCAGAAATGCCTGCCGATGAAAAGTTGTGTAGGTGCGCACGTGCACACGTCTGCCCAGGTGTTTCAAATCGTCAACCAAGCAAGCGTTGACACTCAAATTTTGCCGAAGGTTCCCCTAGCCAAGCACACCTCAGTGACGCGATACCAGTCTTTATGCATGCCTGAGCCCCGCGTACGTACATGTGAAATTTTTGGCGAGGAAATTACCAACTCGAAAACCGAAATAGCTAGATCATCTAGCTAGGTTGTTTAACAAAAATTGTTCATTTTTCTGTATACTAAGTTTACGGCGATTCACAATAATGAGTGCAAAAGTTAAATGTAAAGCACAGGTAAGAACCATACAGTTAAGGATCGGTTTAAAATTTGCCCAAAAACGCATCATCGCAAGGGCAGGTCTAGCGCGTTGCTAGCTGTGTTTTAGAGTTGCTGATTTTATTCACTGTGTTTTTTGGGAATTTCGCATTTCCTCGTTTTTTCAATAGTTGCTCAGTAACATGCATTTGTATTCTTAGTGTGTGTATGCGAAGCTTCAGGATTTTCCTGTGAAAGCAAGCTTAATTTGTCCCATTTCTGTTCGGTTTTTTCTTGTTTCATGCGCACCACTTCGAAAGCCATCCAAGTGATTCTTTGCCTCCAGGCACACACTCTCAGAATGCGTATGTTTTATCCATAATTTCACAACAAGAAACCGTTTGAGCTTGAAGAAGAATGTTTGTTGGGTGGATAACATTTTCATGGCGGGTGGATGATT